AAACTTGCGAGATCGAAATATTCGAATCTCTCTACAGTTTGCTCAAGGAAACAAACACACAAATTATGAGGAAACAGCTATAGATTCGGGTTCCTGTACTCCAAAGCCTTTGATAAATCTTTGTGAAGTTCCGTTATTTTCGAAAAATAGACTATCCCTGACGAAAGAAGAAACTCAAAACATTTCCATTGCTCGTTATTTGGTAACGTAATAGCAAATGACTACCATAATCTTGATATATCCTATGGATCCTGACAGATCCTGACAGTTCCTGATGGTTCCTGACAGTTCCTGATGGTTCCTGGCAGTTCCTGGTGGTTCCTGGCAGTTCCTGATGATTCCTGGCAGTTCCTGATGGTTCTGACAGTTCCTGGTGGATCCTAGGAACCATCAGGAACCGCTTTTTCCCCCTTGGCTTTTCCCATACTTTCTATTCAAACAGTTAGAATTGTGGTAGCTTTTATTTCAAGTTAACAGTAACCATATTAATACTCAAGCGTGTTCAGTATATCGTCGTAGAGTTCCCAGTACACTTGAACATCGTGTTCATTATACAAGTGCGTCAAGTGTATAGTTGTCAATGATTTCGTTTCTTGAATTTCAGTGACAGAGAAGAGAACTCCGGGCATGACGAGTATTTCTTTCTCATCTTCGAAATCTGAAAGACAAGGCAATTCATCGGAAATTTTTTCAAGACGAATGGCAGTTTCACATGATGTAGGGAATTCAAAAACCATTAACGCTTTTTGCCGCTGGCCATTTTCGTTCGCTTCAGCATAAAATATTGCTTGAGCAATATCAGTCGTCGTCGAGCAAAATGTGTTCGTTTCCAAACACTGATCCTTGTTTTGTTTGGCCCGTTCATATGCTTTCAAGTCTTGTTTTGTCATACTCAAACCTCGATAACAGATGCCAGTGAATGCACGATCACGTACACTTGCCATTGAACGCATAAGTGGCAAAGCAAGTTTGGCACTTGATTCTTTTCCACTATTGATATATCGATAAAATGGTGTTTCGAGCGTATAGAGGCGAATAAGCGATTCCACTTCTCCCTTCGTCCGAAAACTATTTGCCAGTTCGTTAGCCTTGGCATACTGCTGGTGTGATGATCTAATATATTGATCAACAAGAGATTGTAGCTCGCTCGCTTGCTGTTGTCTAATCGATTCTTCTGGCTGTTGGAAAGTAAAAGATTTGAATCCGTTGATTACTTCTTTCCAATATTGTCCTTGGACTTCATAGATCTGATGGTGTCTGAGATCCTCCAAAGTTTCATAACGTTGTACGCGTTCGGAAGAAGTTTGTTGATTATAATTCTGCTTCTTGTTTTTCAGTACAGCAGTAAACATTGCTACGAAGCTGTCGTCTCCGTAGAAGCGATTACCACTAGAACTCGGTCTTTGGAAGAGTCTACGCATCTCATTTGTTCGTGCTAGTTCGAAGGCAGTGCGACCATCACGGTTAGTCAAATGTCTCATGATACCATATGTGTCCAATAGTAAAGCGACAATATTTGTATAACCCTTCTCGACTGCAACATGTAATGCAGTACTTCCATTCGCTTCTAGACGATTGATGGCTTCAAAACTAGATGATTCTAGTAATTGAAGAACGAACTCATAATTTCCTTGAGAACAAGCTTGATAAAGATCGGTTATGATATTATTATTGACCGATCCATGGGTACGTTCATTATTAGTTGATGTCTGAGAGCCCATGTAAGCAGAACTTTTCAGACAAGAACACCAGACGTGAACAAAATTATTTTATAGTTCTAAAATTATAAAGTTCTCAACAAAAACTATAAACACAACAAACATATATTTGAGAAGATTTTTTAATATTATAATTTTAGGATATACCAATGAATGTGTTTGTCACTCAAAAAATTCGACACTTGTGACTTAGACTATTTCTGAATGAAATTGAGTATGTTCAATCAAGTTTCTCGAAAAACAAGTCAAGTTGTTCGGGAGTTCGATGTTTTCTGTCTCATAGAAAGATGTCTGTATTTCCTTGTTTAGACGATGATAGCGATGCCTATCTACCTACAGTGCTTATTGTTTCGCTACTTTCACAAGAGAGATACTAAAGAATTCTCAAGACATTCTTTTCTTGTTTTACTTGTGAATTAGAACAACAGATCTCTCATTTCAAAATGTGACAGATGATGACAACGAAAATCTGAGCCAATGTCTGACCCCTACTCGATCGATGTCGTCAGATCTTGCTAAATTTAACATATTTTATGAGGAAAGCATTGTAAGAATTTTGATGCAAGCCTTTTCTAAAAATATTTATTCCTCAACGTTTTGTGAGCATTCTACTAAAAGTCTTAAAAAGGACCTACGTCAAAATGGGCGTCCTAATACAATGATATATCACGAATGACTCAACAGATTAAGCTGAAATTTTCTTCAGAAATCTATCTCAGTGAGTTGTTATTTTTGGGTAACTTTTCTGCTTCATAACTTTTGATTGAAATGACATAGAAGTGTGAAATATTCGGCATAGATAGAGCATTAAACGGTATATGTTATCTGAAAATTTCAGCTATCCATGTTGTTCCATTAGGTCAGAAGAATCCTCTCAAAAAATGGGAGTTTTGAGGATTGACTTTCGTTCAAAACATAGATTATGTGGAGAGTTGCTGGATGATACCTTTCAGGAGTATTTCTAAGATAGATATAATTTTTAAATGAGATTTGAAGTTCGATTTCTTGTCTCACCTATCTGTTAGACTCAAGTAATATTTGTTGGAGAACACAATGATCATATTCCTCTTTGTGTTTCGAACTCTCTTTGCGTAAACAAAAGCAAAGACAATCATATTCAATAGGATTTGTCGGGTAAAAGAAAACGAACTTTATTCATTAATAAATATAACAATGCACTATTACCATATACGTGTATGTAATGTGTATTTTTTCTTGTGGTAATCACTTAGCAACTACTGGCATTTTAACTGTTCTACGATGTGATACGTTTTTTGCTTGATGTCCTTTTTTTGTTTTGTTAAGTCTGTGCTCACGTACCCATTCCGAATTATGCAAATGCATGCCCGAAATGCATCAAGCATATTATGTTTTTTTCATATACTTTGTTCTACAAAAGAGTCTTACTCTGTGCATACAAAGCTCACTTTTACAATGATCGATCGGAATAATGGAAGATATGTAGATAGCCGTGGGATACCGTCATATCTTCTTGCTGTGCTGATAATGAGGATGTGGGTGTGGGTGGGTGTGCTTTTTGCTACCCCTTGTCTAGCCAAAGCCACACCCACACCCCACACCCTGTCGTGTATATAGAACGAAGAAAAAGATGATCTTCGCGGAGCTTGAACTCACACGTTCTGCTATCCGAGCAGGTGTCCTAAGTAAATTAGGCTGGAGAGCGTATATTAATCTTCATTTAGCGGCAGTGTGACCTATCACAGATGCTAACACTTCCCCTATTACACAGTTCGTCGCCTAATACGAACGCGTGCAGGAATCATACATACAGTGTACTGCTGCTCAACTCCTTCGCCAACTGGAAGACTCTGTCTTATTATAACCTTTGAGTTTTATCCATCACTAATCACGTACGCAAAAGCAATAAATAATAGGAATATTGTTGATTTCATTATTTGAAAGTCTACAATAAAAACCGCTTACCCTAAGTTATGTGATGTAATGCTTGAATGACTTTCATTGACTATCAAGAGTAATTGAGTTTATTATCGTGTAATGAATAAATAAGAAACAATGAAGATGAGTAAATCAGTAATAAAAAATAATAATATATCACAAAAAAAAAATAATGATACTATTATAGTAAGGGATAGGGTGGCTGACTCATATGAGACAGCCATAAAGGATAGAACAAAACTAGAATCAAAGAGGACTAATAAAGTAATAGGTTTAGCGCCAATTAGTGACATCTGTCGACATTAACACGTGCACTACTAAAATAACGGTTGGTGCCAAATAATTAGGCCACTTTCGTCAGGTGTTTTGAGGCTGAGTGTGGGTGTGGGTAGATGCGGTTGGGTGTGAATGTCGGTGATGATATGAATATAGGACTTTGAGTTACACCCACAACCTTTAACCTCCTGAATACCGACAATTCTTGCGTTCTTCACGAGCTTATAGAAAAATCGAGAAATCACTCTTTCTCGCATTCTATCGTCTTGAATCAGCTGTATATATATATATTTTATCGTATATAAAATGTTCACTGCTGCAGCCGTATGGATAAACATTTCGTTTCGCAGCTGTTTATCGATACGACAGAACGAAAAGAAAATTCTTGCGTTCTGCTTGTCTTCAGCCTGAAGACAGCGGTATCCAAGAGGTTAATTCTTTTGTTTCAGTTTTCATTTGTTTAATTTTTCTTACTATAGTTTCTTAACTTTCCTCAAATTTGTAAAGCAGAGACTTGATTCGTGTCA